AAAAGGCGACAAAGCGAGGAAAAAGGAGGGGAAAACGAGGAAAAAGGCAAGAAAGCGAGGAAAAGGGCGAGAAAGCGAGGAAAAAGGCGAGAAGTCGAGGGTAAAAAAAAAGGCGAGGAAAAAGGCGAGAAAGCGAGGGTGGGCGAGAAGTCGAGAGTAGATATGGCCGCAGCCGGCTTCCAGCTCTAACGGTGATAGTTGCTTTTTTCCTATAGTGAAAACATGGTTTTTCGCTTAAGCACACTGAAATCCCACACTTTCCGTAATGTTAACCCCACGATCGGCTAAAACTATAGCTCCAGGAAAAAGTGTCTATAGCATACCAATGTCTTCAGTCAAATATGTGTCTGATACTCGACCACCTTATCTAATTGACAGCTCATAGCTCTGATCTAGCTAATAGATTAGATGGACTGTCAATAAAAGCATCAGTCAATTATTATAGATACTCTATAGATAACTCCATAGGCATTGCTATCTGTAACTGTTCTCTTTCAGGTTACAAAATCATGCATTTCATTTGGATATACATAACATGTATTATGTCCAAAAATAACACACAACTTGGGAGATATTTGTGGCTCCATTTGGCCTTTTCATCATTGTTAAAAGTTTCAAGAATGAAACCACTGGCATTCAATCTTTCTTTCATTAACGAGTGTTCCTTCCGTTCGTCCACTATTCGGACCAAGTTTCATCAAAATCCGCAAAGAATTATCTTATGTGTTTACGAGAATTTGTGAACGGACGAATGGCTGACCGACATGGGTACCGATATTAAATGAGCAAAATAATACATGAAATGAATAAAAGCACTCTTTTAAAGAAATCTTTGTTACCATTGATTGACATTTTTTCGAAATAATTTTTTTGTATTTTTACATTGTTTAATGAAAATGAACAATTTCCAAAAGGAAAGGGTTGATAAAGGTGCATATATGTGACATGAAAACTGACTATGATCATGTTAAGTTGACTGATCGGTGTGTTCTCATTACTCATAATGAATAATTTATGGTCCAATGCATCTTTAATCTCTGGTAATATATACACAGACTTACCCGGTTAAATGACACCAAGACGATTGTACAGGCAATAACATTCATTACTTGGAGCAAGCTGGGTTGTAAGGCGCTTGAAGTTGCCAGTCAGTGGCGAAGCTATGATCTTGTTTTCGGTGGTATCATCATTAAGAAGGCACCTGTCCCCATCAATAGGCAATGATGGCATTGTCTCCTGGCGCTGGCGACAAAGGGGACCATTCATACTGGGGTAGGATGGTAGTTGAGGAATGTTCTCTCTTTCGTTGTTCGTTGTTCGTTGTTGTTGAGTGTCCGAATGGGAACATCTTCTTCTCATTTTCGTAGGGAACTCTTGAATTTCGTCTCGTTGCTGTCTGGTTTAACGTGGTCGATATGAGGTGGTGAAATCGGATAGTATTTGTCTGTGGTGGCCATACGTCTGACACAGTGCTGAACATTTCATTACCAGTATGTAATTATGTCTGTTCTTCCCATATACATAACTATCAAATATACACTGAAATATAATGTATGAATATTTTTCCTATTGACCTTTAAAATTACACTGAAATATAATGTATAAATCTTATTTTCAATTTCATTTTCATCTCTAAATTATAGAATATCAGAATGGCAAAATATGTGTAACTGTATCAACTTACTTGCACTTTGCCTCTACTTCTTGTGGACCAGCAATTTCTATAAGGGGTATTATTTTGATGAAGTTTTATGTATTTAACAAGAAATGACTGAAGCCAGTTAACATTAAACGAAATTGGGGTTGCAAAGACATGAATATATCAAACAAACACAATAGCAACTGTAGAAAGCGGAGTAACTTAATAATATGATCAAACGAATGCTGAGTTAAAGTCAGATTATTCAATGTGTTCATTAGTCATCTACTGATCTGCTTGGACTGTCCCAATTATACTATAGGTATTTACTGATTTCAGAAATTATAAATAATATTTATGATAACCTAGCTCTTTGGTAGTCCTATATTTTGTCATATGATAAACACTTTAGGTAGGTAACACTCAAATGTAAAGTTGACAACTTACCAAGAGGGAAGGAATCTTCTATCATGGAAATAACTTCATTTGCAGGGATGTTTTTCTTTAGTCTTGAAACACGTGCGGCCATCTTGTAAGCTAATAAAATTGCCTAAGTCACATTTTCCTGACTTAGGCAACATATGAAATTGTCTAAGTCACAAACCTGACTTGGGCAATTATACTAAATGGGCAAAACGCCATGATATTATCAATGTAGGGCTTTGTCAATTATACTAGAATGTGGCCAGCATCATGAACTGTTGAATTAGGCGAAAATATCAATATCGTCAAAAAGTGACTTAGGCAATTATTTTAGCAAGGTGACGATATATAAACTATAAATGGGAATTATGAGTAATGGGAGTAAACCGACTGATGCATACCAGACATATTTTGACATTCAATTTAGGGTTTTGTCATGGTTTAGATTACTAATCCATTTGGTTCGAAAGCGTCTGCTTTTATATACAAGTCTATAGGACTATGTGTAACCGCTTACCTTAGAGAGTATTCTATGTAAAACTCGTTTTATATTCACGATAGGTTGGCGGTTTCATCTTTAGTAAATGAACAAGGTTTCACTCAAGAAAATAGAATAGCTAATGTGTTACTCCAAATCTTAACTAGTCTTGATTAAACATTACCTCAGCAAATGTTCTCTTGATCCTAAACAGCGTCTGAAGTATTTTGGTTTTTATGTAGAGAAACTAAGTAGTGTATCAACTCAATTCCTGAGTTTAATTCTTTAGTCATCATAATAATACAGCTGACTATATATTAAGTTCATAAAAAAAAATATCATCGATGATGATCAACATTGCCATGCAAAGTAACCAAACTCTACGAAATTTTTACGCATTATTAAGGAAAGAGGTGTGGACATATGCCAACGAGCTGTTTTCAAAACATTGGGCAAGGAAAAATCCTAGTAAGGAAGACGCGTAAATATTAGAATTTAAATCACTGAACACATCATATTTTGACCTAGACTACGTAATTGAATATGTAGAAACATTGTACCCCGACCCCCATATTGCCCAATTCATAACAATTATTATCTTTGGAGCTCCATTTGAATTGGACGACAAATACATTTTGACAAAAATGCAACAACATTGTGACAGCCCAATGTGGGCTGCCGGATCGCAAAAAGTATCCGATACATCAAAACAAGCAAAATCAAAAAGTCCGTTTCTCCACCATCTATATCCAAGGATGGAAACTAGGTGTCAAATACGAAGGGCAAGAGGCACCGAACCAAAAATGTTATACTTGCCAACAATATGGCCATCATGCCAGTAACTGCCCGAATGAACAAGTAGAGAGGGTAAGATCAGATCCTGAGAAAGACTCCGCTGGTGAAAGCAGCGACTCAGATTGGAATAGCTACTCCTCAGGAAGCTCCTCAGATAGCGGAAAGGATGCCCTCACTAATGAATTAAGCTTTCAGATAGAGGAGAGGAGGAGAAATGCCTCGAGCCCCCAACAATTGTATCGAGGACGAATGCCCTCCGTCCTGGCGGACTTGATAAAATTACTGACATCTCAGTGCATCAATACAAGTCGAGTGTAACCCCGAAACCAGCTCTGTGTGGTCAGGCGGGTAATCCCATTCCCTATCAATAAACCACCGAATCAAAAGGTGGTATCCGGTGACAATTGATAATATATCTGTATCACTGTATGTGCATATTTCTCTTTGTGTATGACTGACCCTTTCAGTGCTTACCCTTGAGTTTCCTTTATATTATTCTCCTTGTTATTATCTCCCATTTGTGATTACAGTGATAAAGTGCTAACTGTGATACTAAAACTACCTGTGAGATTATTTTAACTTCTTACTAAACTTTAATTGTACATATATCTGTAAATAAATAAATTACAAATATTTTAAAAAAATGCACATTTGCACCTTAAATGTAAATAGACATTTTAAACACAAAATCGGTCTAGTTCCCGTACAGTTTCGTAGTTCTAATATTATTTGCCTACAAGAGACCAATCTTATTAAAAATGAAAAAATACACCAGCTACAAAATGAAACCAACTTTTAATTCACTGTAAATAAAAGCACAAAAAACACTCTTAGCACTTGTAGATATTTTTAGAGAGCAACACCCCACAAAATGTATATACATGTACACCTAACTTAACTCAGCTGGTTCTGGGAGACTTGATCGTGTTTATACTGACAAATCACTAACACAACATTGTACAAATGGCGTTTGGGCAAAATTTGTAAGGATTATTCGGCTATTCTATGTAAAGAAAGAAAACGAGAACTCATTTGTAAATAAAAAACTCAAGAACAACTGGAAAAGGACACCAATTTTAATTTAGCACATGTAAATAAAATAATGCACGATAGAAAAAAAATAGGCTTGTATTTAACCAGACATGAAGAGACAGGCATTTCTTGAGTTTAAGGAAAGTATTTTGCATTCGGGAAAATTGCTTTGAGAATACTTCCAACGTTTCAGTGGAAAATGTATAAATCCTAGGATTGTCACTCTTTAATCATTTCATTTGCTACCCGTCCTCAACACCCAAGTATGTTTCTAATAATACTTGGGATAATTCCTCTAATATTCTCTAGCATCCAGTTTCCATTATATGCTGGATCTCAAGCAAGAACTTATTAACTCAATGCTGGAGAATGTTGCACTGAAGATTGGTGTAAATCATACTATAGTCTTAGAAACAAAATGTTTTGTTTAGCTAAGCCAATCAGTAATAGTATTCACCGCTCACCATCGACATTTGGGTCTTTAAATCCATGTGTGTCCAGAATTATCTGCGTTTGAAAATTAAAAATATGAGTCGTCTTTTTATGACACACTGTTATATATGAAATGGGTGGTCAGGAATTAGGGTAAGCTAATTAACCACACATCCAAATTGGTTGATAAAACTTTATTACTTAACAAAAAAAAAACCTGAAATATTCAAAAGAAGAATATTAATTACTACAATAATACCTGAATATAAACCCTATAATACAACTATTTTCCTTGATCTTGTTATTAAAGTAATAACTAGAAATATTAACTATACAAACAGTCTTAAAACAAAATATAATACAATTATATACAAAAATGCAAAAAGACTTACCCTAAGCAAAAAGGAGTCAATCAAGCTAAAGGCTTGAATTCAACAATTGAGGTCTAGTCTAAAAGGAATAAAATGTGATATGTAAGTTTAAGGAAATTACTGTGATGAATGTAATGCTATATAAAAATGTACCTAATGCAAAAACAGAAACCCATATGTATATAGATCCAAAATGGCTACCACTTGACAATGAAATTGGCCAATATAACCTATTAACAAAATAAACAACAAAAAGAGGAATACCAAATAAGATTAACTTACCAAATATACTAATAAATCCTTAGACACAATGATTTCCAAATTGAAATGAAAAATACAAATTTAAATCATTGAAGGATCTTTCTATATTTCAATAAGGGAGTTGAAACACCTTCCACTTTGAAATATATAAAATTAATTAAAACAAAACTATAGGAAATAGTCACAATCCAGGGGTAACCAATATACACAAAGGTGAAACTAAGGACAGACCAATGGAGAGGGAGAGAAAGAAAAAAATGAGAAGAAATAAGCATGAGTGAGTGAAGAAAGGAAGAGTTCACTCAGTTGATCTGAAATTGAAAAGTGATTACAGTATGTTAGTAAAAATAATATCTGGCTAAAATAAATAATATTTACAATTAAAATATATTGCCTCTATTCCCCCCGTTTAAGAAAAATTGTCCACAACATTTATTATTCTAATTATTAAATTCCTCAGGGAATAATGACTTACACAGGGTGGGTAGCATCTCCAAACCACTCGCACCCTGTCAGGAGCTAAAGTTGAAAAATCTGCAGGTAACAAGGAACGTGCTAACTCTGTCCTCCTTTGACTGGTAGAAAAGTTAACTGGTTGCTGAGACAGGATATACTCACCGCTTTGAACCCATTGAGGAGGTTGTCTCAATCGAGTTGGTCGTACTTCAAGTTCAGCTGGTGGTACAGGTGGTAATTCCGATTCAGTAACATCATTTTCAGGGTTAACAAGAGCTAAATCTTCCACAATGTTATCACCAGGAGCGTTATCTTTGGAAGGTTCTGTAATTATGTCTGTTGGTTGCTCAATTGCACGAAATTCATCACTTGGCAAAGCTAAAGTAGTCCTACCTGATAAATCTTCCATTGATACGATTCGATTCGAGATGAGTTTTCCAATCCTGGTGATTCTGGCCTCTCTAATTCACCTTGCTGTGCTTCTTGAACATCAGGAACTGGAAATACCTCATCATCCTCATTTTCACCAGCAACTTCTGTGTGGCTAGCAGCAGGCAAGAAACTTACCCGATCCACCACGTAATCTGGTTCATGTACACTTTTATCAGTGTCTGATTCATCGTCTGTAACTTGTGCATTCTGTCTAGTTGTCCTGTTTGGTCTGGTTGTTCTTTCTTGTGTAGTGGTGTTAGTTGGCAGATCTGGAATAGTACCTATAGGGAGTAAGTGATTTCGGTGCAACGTTCTTTTCCTACCTGTTCCATCAGCAGCGATTACAGCATACACAGGTATGTTTGGATTTGGTTGGTTTAAAATCCGATATTGCTTTTCCTCCCACTTGTCTGAAATCTTATGCCTTCCCTCAAACGCTACTTTTCTCACGAGAACAATATCATCAGGTTCCAATTGGTTACTCCTGGCTCTCAAATTATATTTATAATACCCTTCTTGCCTCTTTTGATCTTTTCTTCTGATGCAGCTGCATAAGCGTGTTCAAGTTTTGACTTCAGTTGATCGATGTAGGTTTTCGGATTTCTGATATCTTTGTCACCATTAACTAAACCAAGTACTACGTCTATAGCTAAGGTAGGCTTTCTTCAAAACATGAGTTCAAAAGGCGAATAGTTGGTAGTTGAGTGCTTGGTACAGTTGTATGCATGAACCAATGGACCAATGTAAGTCTTTCAATCTGACTTTTGCTCTGGGTAAAGAGTTCCCAACATGTTGAGTAAAGTCCTATTGAAGAGCTCACATTAACCATTGCCCTGAGGATGGTAAGGGGTGGTCCTTGATTTCTCTATATCAGTGATTCGACAAAGTTCCTTAATGAGTTTTCCTTCAAACCGTGCACCTTGGTCACTATGGATCCTTTTCGGGATACCAAGATACGGCAAATTATGTCCTGTAGCACTTTCAACTTGTATTATTTCATTTTGAACGACTAGAATGTTTGACTGGTAACTGTACATCAGGAATGACATCTAGTCACTGTTGTTTCTTCGGCATCCTAGACCCTCCTGCTATGTGCTCTTCCTGTCCACATCTATAACAGGTTGGTAGCTGTCTTGGGGTTAATGATGTTCTTGCATCTGATTTAGTTGCTTGAGGTCTGTCTCTCTTCTGAATGTCTTCGACATTTTTCTGTAGTACCTGCATCGATTTGGCTAAACTAGCCACCATTGCTCTTAGGTCAGAGTCTTGAGAATCGTCTGGTTTCTGCACACTGTTTACTCTAGCTTTGGGTTTGGAAGAAGTAGATGCAAGAAGTCCACAATCCTGTTCTATTTTCCTAACTTCAATCAACAAATGGTCAAAGTATTTATGTGCCGACTTATCTTTATGATTTGATCTTAATCCACTCCAAAATTTGTTTCTTAACCTGGAATCAAATGATAACCTATCAATTTCATTTTCTAATAATGCTTTATTCAACAAGTCTTCCAACTTACAAGCCCAACTGGAAACAGATTCATCTGGTTGTTGAGTGGCGCTGTAGAATTTAGATAATAAACTTTGACCTTCCTCAAGAAGACCAAATCGAGTTGACAATTTCTTAATCAGCAACCTAACTGATGCTTGATGACCAAGATGCATAGCAACTCGTGCAGCTTCACCTTTGAGTGGCTTCACCCAACAATACGTACCGACTCTTCACTATACCTACTATCCTGTAATAAACTGAGAACCTCAAATTTCCATATATCAAAAGACGTATCATTCTTAGCTGTTGGATCACCTGAAAATGTTGAAATCCTTGGTAGGTTCGTTGATAAGGTTGTATGCTGTACCTGATGTAAGCCAGTAGTTGGTAAGCTGGTAGTTGGTGTAGCAGAAGGGTCATGTTTCGTCGTAAGTAACTTTGGTTGCTGTATCTGTCTGTGATGGTAGCTCTAACTAAACAGGATTAGTTCTCTTAGGTCTAGTATCTCTAGCTTCTAAAGGTACCTCAACATCATCTGTTCCATGGTGTCCAGTAGAGTCCAGATACTCTTTTATCCATTGCATAAAACTTTCCGTAGAATCTGTGTCCGGAATAACCTCTAACTTTCTGAAATATTCCAAAATATTTCCTCCGTCACTGGTTGATAAAGAAAATTGTTTTGGTCGTATGTCCAAAGGGGTAATATTAGCATCAGAACCACTTGTGGCACTTTCAACATTCTCTGATTCAGAATCAGACATCTTTAAAAAAGCAGGTAAACTGAAAATACAAGTTGCAAAACCCGAAAATATAAACGTAACGGACAAAAACATTCACTTTATAAAATATCAATAACGCGAGACACTACTATTTGCATACATGCAAATATAAATGAATTCGCATACGCGAAAGGCCTTTATACGCAAACACGAAATAATCCGCAAATTTTTTTTAACAACGGAATATTGTTAGCATAAACACATACAGAAATATGCAAACACAATTATACGCAAAATGATATTGTTGTATGACCTGAAAAAAATGATTTCGTATAAGTCAGTATGTAATTGACAGAAGATATCAAATATTTTGATATCACATGTACACAATACCTATACTGATACCCAGAGGAAAAAGTGTCTGGAAAATAAAACAAATAGTCAGTGCTATATATATATATATTAGTGCATTGTGTTAGATTTGATGTGCACGCCGAGTGTATGATTGATCCCAAGATAAAGGGAAAGATATAGATAGAAAGAAAGCAAAGCTGAAAAACAAAGTAAGAAAAATAATATAGAGATAAACTAATTTAAAGACAATAGAAAAATAAACCTCATTATACTAAGTTACCTGATGGAATCAACTTAAGTTTGAAAACTGATAATAAAATTAAAACTATATACTTGATAGACAAACAGCAATTAGCAAATGAAACTAAATCTATGAACAATTATTGCAACCTGAAATAACATTAAATGTAAACTTGCATAGTGTATATATGTATATATGTAGTGGAATAGTCCTAGGCTAGTACTATGAAATTATAAAGAATACTAACACTTAACCATAAATAAATTCAGAAAATTAAGAAAATTTGAAAATCAACTAAAAAAAAAATTCAGAAATAAATTTTAAGTAAATTTAAAGAGGGGGAGAAAATAAAAAAATAAAATAAAGCTGCGAAACTTATAATTACAAACTTAAGGAGTTCCTGATTTATAATTTGAAATCCAAGGTGGCCAAAAATTAAAGGGAAGTAATTAATACCTTTAATAAAAACAATTTTAGCATTTAAGTAAAAACTTGCTTACTTAGGATAATTAACTCGATTAGATAATTTAAATTATGAAAACTTGAAAATAGGACTTAAAGAAAAAGAAATTCTGTAATTTAGCCAAATACATTATAATTTAGATAATATATACAAATAATAACCTTGATGAGCATATAACAAAAAAAAAAACAAAACAACAAAAAAAAATTGACAAAATGTATTTTGAAAATAATTCAGATGAAAACATAATAGAAAGTTACTCACAGTAGTTTACAAAAAGTGCATGAACGAATCCAAATATCACTTATTGCTGCAGCAACATCGCCAATGTTAGTGCACTATTATATTCAATCATGGGTTTTTTCAGGAAACAGGGACTGTAGGTACAATCACGTTGGGCGCCAATGAAATGGGTGGTCAGGAATTAAGGTAGGCTAATTAACCACACATCCAAATGGGTTGATAAAACTTTATTACTTAACAAAAAAACCCTGAAATATTCAAAAGAAGAATATTAATTATTACAATAATACCTGAATATAAACCCTATAATAAAACTATTTTCCTTGATCTTGTTATTAAAGTAATAACTAAAAATACTAACTATACAAACAGTCTTAAAACAAAATATAATACAATTATATACAAAAATGCAAAAAGACTTACCCTAAGCAAAAGGGGTTAATTAAAGGAGTCAATCAAGCTAAAGGCTTGAATTCAACAATTGAGGTCTAGTCTACAAAGGAATAAAATGTGATAATGTAAGTTTAAGGAAATTACTGTGATGAATGTAATGCTATATAAAAATGTACCTAATGCAGAAACAGAAACCCATATGTATATAGATCCAAAATGGCTACCACTTGACAATATAACCTATTAACAAAATAAACAACAAAAAAGAGGAATACCAAATAAGATTAACTTACCAAATATACTAATAAATCCTTAGACACAATGATATCCAAATTGAAATGAAAAATATAAATTTAAATCATTGAAGGATCTTTCTATATTTCAATAAGGGAGTTGAAACACCTTCCACTTTGAAATATATAAAATTAATGAAAACAAAACTATAGGAAATAGTCACAATCCAGGGGTAACCAATATACACACAGGTGAAACTAAGGACAGACCAATGGAGAGAAAGAAAAAGATGACAAGAAATAAGCATGAGTGAGTGAAGAAAGGAAGAGTTCACTCAGTTGATCTCAAATTGAAAAGTGATTACAGTATGTTAGTAAAAATAATATCTGGCTAAAATAAATAATATTTACAATTAAAATATATTGCCTCTATTACATATATGTAAAATACATCTATATAAAGGAAATAAATTCCTAGTTAGAGATATTTTTGAAGGAATCATGCGATTTTCATACATTTTAGTACTTCCGAAGACTATTTACATATATTCAAGACACAAACCAACCCCCGAAAATTTCAGCACAATGTGAATTTTTCAGGAGAGATTTGTCTAGTAACACGATATTTGATATTTCTTTATATTTCATACTTTTGTTAGTTATTGTGGTAATTTTTGTAGGTAAAGTGTGAGGGTGTGGGGCTGTTATTACATTAAATAATTTCCTAATACTCCTTTCTCAAAACGTATGCATAACTCCGCCCACTTACTTCAAAACGAGGCTTAGTGGGCAGATACGTCGTCTGTGTAAACAAACATGGCTTACGCTGTAAAACGAAGAAC